GTTGTAATCTATTCCTTTTTAAATATAAACTACCAAGATTTCCAAGAACCTAGACCTCTTCACAATGATATTAAAAACTTTCCTGTAATAGTCAATGCAAGGAAGACCAAATGTAGCTATGTAATTTGTAGCTGGTATGTTACACCACAGGCAAACAACCACCTAGATATAACACTGCTTTGATTCCATGGGATTCAGGCTTCAGGAAACACCCTGTGAACAAATCCAATATGCATTAATCTAACTAACAAGTAATACTAAATAAGTATTAAATAAGAGTGTCAAAACCTTAAACTATCAGTTCTATACCTTACTTATTACTATTGACTTCATAATTGCTACAGACTATGGATAAAATCTTTTGTGACCACAGCCACAATGCTTACACAATGGGTAAATGAAAGGCTGAGGAACACTTGGAAAACAAGTTTCCTTTTACAGCTGAAGGACAAAATCTTTAGAGCAGATGTTGTACCTATTGATATTGGTAGGTGAAATAAAGTCAAGAATATTGCATGCACCAAAATATTTTCAACATTTGTGGCATTTGTAACACAAATATAGCTTAATCTTTCATAGAATACACTTTGTAAAGATGTAAGCTACAGCCTCTTACAGGTTCAGAATGATGGTTAAGGAACAGGTTGATTGAAAAAATGACTCCAAATACTTTAGAAGACATTTTGAATACCTTACCTATCTAAATTGATGGGTTCAAACCAAGTGGTCAGGTTTAAAACTTGTATGGTATCCCAGTATGGTGTTCTTTGGTATTGTCCATGTCCTTTGTCAGGAATGATGTATATGCCTCTACATCTTTCTCATGTACTCTCATACTAACTTTTAATAATTATTTTCTCCTTAGGTAAACCACTGAGGTAACCTGATATAGATAATCTTTTTTCCATCTCTTTTAATTGAACAAGAATTTGAAGGAGGAGGGGAAACAAACCCCAAACCCATCATCAAAATTATCACTACCACTTCCCACCTACATCTGGTTTTGATCGTGCACTTAAAGAGATTCCTGTTGGCAGCTAAGGATGTCTTTTGGTGAGCTCCTTTACATACAAGCTATAAGTCTTGCTAGATGACATCTTTAAAAACATTCTGTGTTTTATAAGCACAAATTCTGAAGTCACACAGCTAAGAGGATACCTAAAGAAAGTATACCTTTTCCTCAGTAGGCAAACCCCACTGACCTCACTGTTCCCTATTTCCTTTCGAATTCTTCAATCACAGAATAGGTCTGCCAGTGTTACTGAAATCAGGAGCTATTTCTGCTCTACACAAACTTAAATGAGACCATTTCCTGGCTGAATGAAAACATGCTTCACATAATAAAATTCTTGGACAAACTGAAAACCCTTGCTACAAATTTAGAAATGCCAAACACTTGGGGCTGCCTAATGTAGAGGCATATACATTTTACTGCTAAGCATGGATTTAAAACTCTAATCATCCTAATAAAATAATTTTGCTTCTCCCACAAAATAAGAATATCAGACTTAAAACACAGGATAGACCTCAAGGTATTATCCTACTTTAAATGTCTGATAGCCATAAATAATTTTACCCCTTGCAATATTAACAAGTGTGCCAGTAAAACATATAAAAATTAGCAAAAGCGGGAGATGCTACACATTGCTAATGTTCAGGATTAAAGGAGTCTTGCTGTAATAAATGCAACCCCATATTCAGTGAGTCACAAGCACAACAGAGTTAAAACTGCCCTACACTGATTCTACCTTGAAGGTAAACCAACTACATTGCAATGCTATAAATACCTGCCTGGAAACAATAGCTGCCTGGAAGCCAAAGTCACTGCATTTTAGTGACTAGAATTCAGTTTAGCTTGAAGAGACAAAGGTTGAATAAAAATTTTAGACTTCTGAAGCTCAATATTGAGTGTAGGCAACCATGTATACTTCTGTTAATACATAAAGAGGAGGGAGAAAGTGTGAAGGCTCACACAAAAACCATACATCTATTTCAGGACACACAACATTAAAAAACCTCCATAAATCACCACACAATAATTTGTTCAGTTGAAAATAAAAATCCTGGCCTGATATTTGCCCAAAAACATAAGTTTCCTTGGGATCAAATTGTGACTTTAGGCAGAAGTTAGATCCATGTCTAAATGAGTCTTCTTATGGTTCGTATACTATATTATCATATCATATCAATGGTTGCTGCAGGGAGGCACTGGTAGTGACCTCAGGCTAAATAGGACATCTACATCCTCTTACACATGACTGATTCAGAAAAATACTTCATTCTTCTCTATTCCCAAAGTAACAGACTATCCCCATCTACCTGTGTTCAGTCCTGTTTAATAGCTTTATCAACAACCTGGATAATGAGTCCACCATCAGTAAGTTTGGAGATGACACCGGGCTAGGCAGGAGTGTTGATTTGCTGGAGGGCAGGAGAGCTCTGTAGGGGGATATGGATGGGCCAGTGGTACAAGGTTCAATAAGGCCAAGTGCCAAGGCTTGCCCTTGAATCACAACAACCCCATGCAGAGCTACAGACTGGGGGCAAGATTGGCTGGAAAATGGTCAAGCAGAAAAGGAGCTGGGGGTGCTGATCAACAGGTAGCTGAACATGAGCCAGCAATGTGCCCAGGAGGGCACACTGGAAAAACTGGCTTTAAGAACTGATATCTATAAGCAAAATGCCTTTATCAGAGGTAGATTCTTAAAAAAAAATAAGGATTTTCTTAAGAAGAAAACGTAATTCTATTCAATGAATCGATATAATTGCTTGTATAGACTATATCACAGAATTACAGAATAGTTAGAGTTGGAAGGGACCACCAGAGATCATTTAGTCTTTAACCCCAGCCAACAACCTAAGTGACAAGTGAGCTGCTTGCTCACCCCCCCCTCCAGCAGGATCAGGGAGAGGATCAGAATGGTAAAAGTTGGAAAACCTGTGGGTTGAGATAAAGACAGTTTAATAGGGAAACCAAAAGGTGTGCACACAAGCAAAGCAAAGCAAGGAATTAATTCACTGCTTCTCATGGCCAGGTAGCTGTTCAACCATCTCCAGGAGAGCAGGGCCCCATCATATGTAACAGTTACTTGGGAAGACAAATGCCATCACTCCAAATGCCCCCCTCCTTCTTCCGTCTTCCTTCCACTTCATATACTGAGTATGATGTCATATGATCTGGAATATCCCTTTGGCCAGTTTGGGTCACTTGTCCTGGCTGTGTCTCCTCCCAGCTCCCCATGCATCCCCAACTCTCTTGCCAGCATGGCAGTACAAAAAGCAGAGAAGGACTTGGCTTTGTGGAAGCACTGCTCAGCAATAACAAAAACACCCCTACATTATCAACCCTGTGTTCAGCACAAATCCAAAACATAGTCCCATACAAGCCACTGTGAAGAAAATTAACTTTACCCCAACCAAAACCAACACACAGGGTCACCTACAGCAGGTTACACATGAACTCATCCCGGTGGGTTTGTTATGTATCCAGAGAGGGCGACTACACTACCTTCCTGAGTAGCCTGTTCCCATGCTCTGCCACCCTCAGTGTAAAGGAATTCTTTCTCATGTTGAGGTGGAAATTCTTGTGCTTTAGTTTATGACCATTGCTTCTTGTCCTGTCACTGGGCACCACTGGAACGAGTTTGGCACCATCTTCTTGGTACCTGCCTTTGAAACCATTATATGCATTGATGAGTCCCCTCTCAGTCTTGTCTTATCTAAACAGGCTCAACTCTCTCAGTCTCTTCTCCTAAGAGAGATGCTCCACACCCCTAATCATCTTTGTGGCCCTCTACTGGACTCTCTCCAGTAACTCCTTGTCTTTCTTAAACTGTGGAGACCAGAAATGAACACAGCCCTCCAGATGTGACCTCATTAGGTCTCAGTAGAGGGGGAGGATCACCTCCCATGACCTGCTGGCCACACTCTTCCTGATGCACCCCAGAATATCATTGGCCCTCCTGGCCACAAGGGCACACTGCCAGCTCATGGTCATCTCTTCATCCACCAAGATTCCCAGGTCCTTCTCTGTAAAGCTACTCTTTAGTAGGTCAGCCCCCAACCTGTACTGGTATTTCGGGTTATTCCTCCCCAGGGGCAGAACCCTACACTCGCCCTTGTCGAACCTCCTTAGTTTTCTCTCCACCTTAAATGTATTAGCACAAATTTCCTTATCTCTATCAACATTCTTATTCTTAAATCAGCAGATCTTAAACTAAGCTAATTTGGTAAGATGCCAGAAGCACTTCCAGATAGAATTGCTCACACAATAACTTTAATACTGTAACTGCATCTGCAAACTAATACCAGTACATTTCTAAAGCAGACAAACATTAACATTTGTAAAACAAATGCAGGTCCATGGAATTTTTCAAAATAATATTCTTTAATCTCAACTCAATCACAATGAATCTGGTCAGGCCTGCTGATGGCTTACATAGGGCTTCCCTTCACTGTTCTAGACCTCTGTGAAGAAAGTCAAGTTTCTGTTTCCTTATTAAGAAAGCAAACCCTTTTTTCTTCATGAAAAAAAGATAATTTTTTACATGAGATTCTCTACATGTGCTTTATTCCCCATTTAGGTTTCTAGAAGACAACTGTATCTTTGACTTTCTTTGAAATGGAAATTAAAACAAACATCAGATGTTTATATTAGAAGACTGTCTTTAAATAAGTTAGATTTGAAGTACCAGTGATACACCAGCAAATTAGTACTATAATCATAGTAAGTCACATTATAGTTATGGTACATTAGGTTACAATATTATTTGAATAAACCTAGTATATTTTTCATTTGACATATTGCATGTATATTATTCAATAGAAAAATTATATACATATTTATAATATATATAATTATATATCTAAAATTAAATATTAAAAAATTATTCACCTGGGAATATATTCAGCAAATCAGAAAGTTTCAGCTACATCCAGTTTTACATAATGCATGGGTATGTGTGCTGAAAGGAACTAAATCACAAGTATTTCTTCCAAGGTAGAGATTTTTTTCTGTAAATTGCCTGTATTCTCTAAAATTTCCATTGTTTTGGCAAACCACTTAGGACACAAGTCTGAAAATAGAAAGTCAAACATAAAATTTTAAATCATGCAGTATCTCCATTGCATGCAGACTTAAACAGCATTAATAGAAGATTTGCAACCAGCCTCTTGTTTGAATTTTTAAAGCAATTTGTATCAATAAAAATGAAAGTGAAGAAGCAATTAACCAGCTAAGCAGTGGGTTCTGTCAGCAAGAATAATATTGCAACAATAATCCCTTCAAGAATAAGTTTAAATATTGAAAAAAATAACCACCTTAATGACTATATTTTTCCTCATTAGATCAGTACTAAGGTGGCTGCTGAATTCCAAAACTAGAAGCTTCACATTAGTTTTGCCGGGTGAAGTTTGACAGAATACCAGGAGGCACACATTTGATGCTAATCAATAAACATTTGCTTTCAAATTTAACCATTAAGGATCTCTTAAAAGCCCCCAATATTTGAAATTAACATTAAAAAATAGAGCAAAAAAAGAATTCTGCAGGAAATGTTACATAAAGAAGAAGAAAGTCTTCAAATGTTTAAATAATTTTTACATTCTGAGATCCCAAACAGTAGAGGAAGTGGAGATCAGAGTATTTTACTGATCAGAAAAAAAACCCCAAATGGCATAATAAAAAAATAGTCTCCTGTCATAGGGACTGATCCAAAGCCAATTCATGTTACTGGAAGTTTTTCTCTGTGATTTTCTTGATCTTTGGGACAGATCAGAATGAGGCCAAATACTTCTTTTTTCTAGCAGAGTCTATGGAGACCACCACAACACAAAGCTCACTGGACACAGAGGACATCATGTGAGTGCAAATAATGAATATACTACAGTTTTTAAAAATAAATATGTTTTAACTTAAATGAAAGTTTGCAGCAATGTCCCTAGAACAGCTATAAGCAGTTTTGCTTCAGGAAAAGAAGGTAACAGCGTATGCTGTGAAAATAGGAAGGAAGAAAATAAAAACGAAAAGCACATGTCTCTGTAAATGTGTTTGGGTGAGAGAGGTGGGACTGCACAGTACGTATTTGTGGATTAGGTTATTAGAAGTATATGAAATATTTAGAAGCAACGAATTGAAATGCTATTTCTATATTAGGGCAATTATAAATGTTGAATTTTTGAGACAGTTTAATGAAGTTGTATCTAGTTCTCTGTCATACTCATTTTTCAGAACACTTTTTTCTGATCTCCTTACAGTCTAAATGTTATGCTGAATGAGCACTCTCCTGACCAAAGAAATTAGCTATAATATTTACTTATGATTCACAGGTATCAATTAGCACTGGGATCAAACCCAGCAGCTAGCTGTATTTTATCATACTGCAAAAATTCCTACAGTGCAAGGAATGGTATATGCTTATTATGTTAATGATGAACCATTAATAAGATTATTCACATCAGGTAACATTTTATGTGAGGTGCCTAATTTGGTCAAAATACCCAAGTAGTTTTCCTTAATTCTTTCATTGTTGCAGAAATAATACAATTGTGGTGACCTGGACAGGCTGATCTACCAATGAGGAGAGACAAGAGAACACATTTAGTTGTTTTGTGTTGGGTGAAATGACTTCCTGTAATAGTTCAGATCTGATGCTACACCAAAGTGTTAATGAGGCATGCATATCAGAAACTAGAAGTGATATACACCTTGTTCAGTCAGAACAAAACCTTTAAGAACTTGATTGTCATTCTGAACAAGTGTTTTATTAACAAGTAAGTGATCTTGGCATTGTGCTTGTCTTCTGCTTATCAAGCTGACTTCTTCCTGTCCTGTCAATAAGTATTTTAGAGTCATTGTAAAAGAGATTTTGCATTTCTGCAAAATTGATTTCTTATTATTAAGTAGTACCTTTTGCAGGCTTACTGGTGAATGTAGTTAACACCCTTTTACTCCAGGGAAAGATGCTAAATTACTTTTCAGTTAGAATGTATGACTTACTCCTTATAACAATGTCAGGTATGAGCTCAGAAATCTTGTGTGAAAAATCTTCATTTCATTTTGCTTGACAAATATGCTTCAATCCTTGTTGAAAATAGCTGACTGAAGAGTCCTTCTCCAATTTGAGTGAAGACTACTCAGTGACTATATTGACAGTTCTAGTGCTCCTTTGCTTATTAAAGGCTCATCCCTTAAAACCCAGGACTGTCTCTACCACAGTGGATATCAACAGAAGCTAACAGAGATGAATCTTGTAGTAGAACTAAAATGAACCTCAAATAAGGTCCAAGGTTGGTATTGCATTTGCAAGCATGAGTAACTTCAATCAGTGAAGAAAGTTCATAAGTCTATGCAAACAGGGACATGGGATGAAATACCTGGAGCAGCTGATTTGTAGTCAATGTGATAGTAGTTTACGAAATTACTCTTTCTTTTGTCGTTCACAGAAAATCGTATGTGCTGAAGAAACTTCTTGAACTGGTTTCCAGAACAGACTTTTCTCCATTTCATCACTTGCACAAGAAAAATCTATAGCATACAACAAAACACATTCTTATATTACATATCTCAGTTTTCCAAAATGGATGGAAGTATTGTATAGTGTAAAGATTGAATAAACTGTAAAATAGTATCTATATACATCTTTGTATTTTTGGAAAGCAAATTGTTTAACAAGTTCTTCAATAAGTATGTGTCATAGTTTGAGATTGCCCCCCCCCCCCCTTGAGAGTCGGGGGCTCAGAGGTGATTGGGTACCAAGGCAGTGTTCCCTGGAGAGCCAATCACCACTCATGTTGTTCACTTCTGCTGAAAAATCATATATACACAGCCACCTGAAGCTGTTGGCAGTTCTTTCTGTTGGTGTCTGCTGCGTGTAGGTGTAGAAGGCCAGGGGGTGGCTGGGCTCCTTCTTTCCCCCTCCTGGGTAGGGGGTGGGGGGTAAAGAGGAGCCCTGCCACCCCCAACTCTGCCTAGGCCAGAGTTAGAGGCAGCATTTAGAGTGAGTGTTTGTGAGGGATGTGACTCACAGAACCTGAGGTAAAAGGAGAGAGGCAGGCTTTGCAGCCAAGCCCTCTCTCCCCTCCTTTCTGCAGTTAAGCTGTGGAGGGGGGCCTTTTCTTTCTCTGCACTGTAAAGTGGAGGAGAGGCTCAGCATTTGAAGCAGAGCCAAGTGGATGGGCTGATAACAAATCAGCTCAACGCTCGGGAGAAGAATCCCGGGCGAAATTGGAGACGGACTGAAGAGAGAGGCCCAGAGGATGTCTCTGCTGTGATTTAAATGCAGGACAGCCGAAAACCCAGAGGAGGAATCAACATTCCAGGACGCGTATATTGATAAGCTACACTACAGCAGCCTACAGAACCAAGGTATGAGACTGAGAAAGAGAGATCACAGAGCAGACTGAGGAGAAAGGACTCAAAACTACTTTCTTGGACTTCGTGAGGAAGGAAGAACTTCCACAGACAGCTGGAGCTTGGTGAGGGGGGAGCGTTCGGGTCCCTGAACACTCCTACGAGGGGGAGACTGGTTACTTCCTAGCCTGAAAAGGCTTCTCCTGGACTAAAGTTAAAGGGAGGGGCTTAAAAGGACTGATAGAAATGTAATATATATACATATATACATATATATATATATATAGTTGCATTTAGTTTGCATAGTATTTATTTTTGTAAATAAATGTATATACTTCTCCCTTCCCCTATAGAAGCCTCTGGCCTGAAAGTTTCTCTCTGGTGTTGGGATAAATTGTGGGAAGGGGTGGGGAAAGCCTGGAAATTGGATTTTGGGTTTCTAATATAGCTCAAACTGCCACAGTATGTATTGTCTCCAAGGATTAGGTGCTTGAAATCATATCAAAGTTTGCCTTTTTGGGGCAGAAGTGTCCAGAGCTCTTAAAAAAAAGCAAACTACAACAAACAAAAAAAGAAACAAAATATTTTAAAAAGGATTAAGGGAGACTTGACACTTTACAACCCTAAGCCATCCTACATCCTGGTTTTTGAACTTCATATTTTCTTCTACTTCCATATGCCTTTCATTTTACGTCCCTTACATTTGGTTTTGAAGAACCCAGAATTTCAGGTCAAGACTGAGAGCAAATTTTTCCAGTGCCAAGAGAAAAAAGGGCTGCTCTCTGTTTTCAGCTGAATTCAAAACAAACAAAAATGCACACTAAAAAATTTATCTTGATTTCTAAAAAAAAAAATCAACCAAGAAGGAGAAAAACCATATTTATTTGGATCCATAAGTCAGGATGATCTGGGCTCTTAAAAAATCCCTCAGGTTTACTAAGACCTCAGGTTCAGAGATGAGTCATGTCACGTTTGACTTTTAAAACAAACTTTCAAATTGTATGGTTCTATAAAATACATCTTTTTTTTTTTTTAAATGAAATTTCACCTTCACCTCAACTTTGGGGTTGTTCAGCCTGAAGAAGAGAAGGCTCAGGGGAAATCTTATAGCAATCTTACAGTACCTAAAGAGAGTCTACAAGAAAGCTGGAGAAGGACTTTTCACAAGGGCATCTAGTGATAGGATAAAAGGGAATGGCTTAAAACAAAGAGAGAATAGATTTGGGTCACATATTAAGAAGAAATTCTTTACTGTGAGGGGGGTGAGACACTTTTACAGGATGCCCAGAGAAGCTATGGACGCCCCATACATGGAAGCATTCAGAGACAGGTTAGATGGGGTTTTGAGCAACTTGCTCTAGTGGAAGGTGTCCCTGCCCATGGCAGGGAAATTGAAACTAGATAATCTTTAAGGCCCTTTCCAACCCAAATCATTCTATGAGCCTATGAACTGAATGTGAAGAAAAAAAAGAATGAATACAGTTCTGGATGGTACAAACTACATTTTCATCGACTGAAGACATTCACATCTCTTTCCCATTGCATAATCCAAGATAACAAATTTATAGAACTGTGTACATATAAGTGATAACTTGCAAAGATTGTATCTTACTGTCAATAGGTGCCCTACACAAATCCAAAGGAGTGTTGAAATATGCACAGTGAAGAAAAAAACAGAAGCATATTGCCTCATTTTAACACATATTATCTCTTTGATACTTACGGTTATTAAGAGCAAAGACTTAACAGCTCATGATGATCCTAGAACACAGGATCTATATATAGTATAATACACTGGACAAAGGTGATAGCAGTTAATCAGATGAAGATTCACTAATAAATTGTTTTATTCTGTCACTGCTTATGATTAAAGTGATTACAGTTGCACTTGACTTCTTAAAGATAAATACAAAGAAGTTGTATGAATTATTGTACGTTGGCACAAGCTCTCAGTCAAAAAGTCTCTACTAATATTGGGTTTTTAGTACCTAATATACTCTAGTTCAGTACTGTTCTGTAGCTATTGTAAGATATTATTACATCTGTTCAATTATTGACACCTTTATTGCTTTGTTCACTAAACCGAGTTGTCCTGCACATGCTTCTTTGCAGTCAGACCCCCAGAAGACATATCTGCATTAACGGGGCTGCAAACCTGCAAAAGATTCTGCCTGTCCAATGTAAATTACATCTACTCATCCATTCCCTGCTATAATAGTCATAGATCTTCCTTACCACACTTATAGTTGCCTTCCATTTAAACTGAAAGGGATGGAAGTGACCAGTTTTAACTACCTATCCTATACTGACAACTTTTAGAGCAAATTCTGTAAAAGGTTTTGAGAATGGACTCAATAAACTCTTCTAAAAAAAAAAAAAAGAAAAAAGTTGTTCCCTGTTATGGATTTCCTCCCCTCTTCTCTGCTGTAATTTCATTGGAAAAGAGATGTGAGTAAAGCTTATTCTCACATTTTCTTTCATTGTATTTTCTACAGTTTATTCTAGAGAAGAAATATGTCCCTAGTGTTTATTTTTTTCATGTATATGCCAGGGACACAGCCTTTATTAAAGATTAAAAAAAAACCCAAACCCAAACACACCAAGTGGACTGCATCGTTTCCTATTGAAATAGGCCATTTTTCATCAGAAAGCTGTAAGCCCAGTTAGAAATAGCTAAAGATAGATATTTGTTACCTGAGTGAGTTACCAATTGAGTTCCTCAATTTTGTGTTAAAGGTTATTTCTGTGGAACCTTTAAGATCAACCATGATAAAAGCAAAGCCGAAGTAACTTTGGATTTTAAGGAACCATAAACATATCTGAGAACACCATGAATTTTTCTTTTATTGTGCCTTAGCTTTGAAGAATGTCTTCTTTTTGATGATTGAGCTTTACGTGCAGAGCTCAGGAGCAGAGGAAGTTGGAGAAGGCAGCTTTTAGTAGTCACTGCACCAAGGAACTACTTTTCACTCTTTCCTTTTCTTCAAAACAAACTGATTTTTACTTGTTCCTTCCCCTGTTTGCATAACAAGAATAGCATTATGCTGTTTCAAGAATGACGCCAATCATTTAGACTATTTTATTTCTCCATCAAGCTATACTACTGCAGACGTTTCATGTACTAATGTTTCATAAAGCAAACTTCTTGGATTGGAAGCTCTCAGTAAGAACTTTATCTGCATCACAACTATGATACAGAAGTCTTACATTATATACCTTAAAGCGTGTCTTTAAATATTCATAAAATATAAAGTCTCTTGATAACATAACTACAGCTAATGGCCAAATTTACCATTTTATATTTCTAACTACTTTAGAGATATTGTAATAAAGGCAAAGACTTCCCACCTAGCTTGTCATCTTTATCCTTTTAAAACCTACACAACAGAAAAACGTGTTTGCAACTTGCTGCAGTTTTTACTGGAATTTACCAATTATTTTTAGCTTACCTACCAAACTGGGATAATCCAATCATTGGATTAATCAGCATAATCAACAGAAATTCTATTGAATACCTTTCTCTTTTTATATCCATTGATTCCCAATTGACTGCTATAGATGTCAGCAATTCACCTACTGAAATTCAATATACACTTGGGGATCTATGCCTCCAAGTGTCTCCAGTATTTGCTTTCAGTCTCAGTGGAAATTAATTGTTCTTTGGCTGTTTCTCAAACTTTCACCATTGGTAAGTGTTCCTTCCTATCTGTTCTTATCTGCTTTTGTCTGTTATAAGGATTCATCTCGCATCTCTACATTAGCATTGAGTTCATATTGCCAAATTGAAAATGGCTCAGAATGGACACGTTTTTCAGGTCTTAGTATTAAGGCAGGTGTTATTACACGTTTGGCTGTTTAGATGGCCAGATTTATGTCATGTCTTAGGTTTCCAAATACTGACAAACATACTACATCAAAACCGCCTTTGCCTTCCAGATGCAAGCATTAGGGCAGTTAATAAGTAAGAAAAGATGAGAGATTAACCTCACAGTTGAGAATCGTTCAGGTTCACAACTCTGTCTAGGTGAATAGAGGCACACACACTGGGGCAAGAAAACTAGAAAAAGTGGCCACATAGGCAATTAGTATGAAAAGGGTTAGGAAGTTATTCAATTCTCTATTAGACAGGATTTGTAAGAACTAGCTATTGAAAAACCCTCTCTTTGAGTTGCTGTACTTGAATGCGGGAGCCGCTGGTTAATAGTTTATGGTCACCTTCTGACCTCAAAAATCTATTACTTTAAAGTAGGCACTGCTCTCTCAGGCATCTGAAAGTATGATCTAATAGCGAATGTTGAATTAAAAGACACAGCACTCAGAAGAGAAAATAAATTAGTTTCATTACTACATACCCCACAAAATACATAAGCATTCATATTTGAATAATAATGTTAATATTAGGAAAACTACAGCATAATCACTTGTGCTTCATTACACAATTTTACTGTAGCTGAAGTAATATTTAATTTTGATACAGAGACACTTAGCACTTTGAAGAAAAAAACCAATTTTTCAGTTTATGCACAAAGCCATTTTTTATTTCCTTGTTGGCTATGCCATTGGAAATACTGAATCTCAAATCAGTCATGTATAGTAAGAAGTCTCAGTAAGACACTTAGAAAATCCATTTTAAACATCTGTCAACAGAAAAGTATTGAATAATTCAATTTTTTTTTAGTAAGGAGACTCAAGGGTAACAAGTGGGTAACGTTGCAGAGCTCAATCTTCCCCAGAAACACTCTTCACACTAACATATATTCAATCATAGAATGTCCTGAGTTGGAAGGCACCCACAAGGATCACTGAAGTTCAACTCCTAAGGTCAATCATGCCTATGAAAGTGAATTTACTATCAATATCACAAATACTTTCATACTCATTTGGTCTTGTAATAAAGCAATACAACAAAAACTCTCAGAGATATTCCGACTCCCCTACAGTCCACAGAGGAGGCTGGTCGGGGTTTGTTTTGTTGTGGTTTTTTATTTGTTTGTTTGTTTTGGTTTGGTTTTGGCTTTTGTTGTGTTGGGGTTTCATGGTTTTTTTTTTAGTCTAGATGCAATTATAAAAAACCCAACAAATTAAAACCCAATAGAAACATAAGTTTTTTCCTGCCACTCTCAATATAGATCTTCTCTTTCTGACTCTTCCTACTGAATGCACACAAGATTCGTGCGTTAAGCTAAGGTCAGCCCCTGTGACTACTTCGCAGTTTGTTGTATTTACTTATATCTTCTATTTCTCAGTTCCATGTCTACAGAACCATGCAAGCTTTTTCAGTAAGAATTTCCAAAAATAGACTTATAATGAAGAAATACAAGAAAAGCATAGATATAGATTTTCAAAAGGCACAAACTTCCACTGACTTTTGTCAGTTAACTTAGAGAAAATGTCTTTTTTGCTAAATTTTCCCTGACAAGAATATTTTTCTTCTCTATTATTTACCAATTCTGCCAAAATCAGTAGTTTCATACTGGTGAAAATTACTATATAGGATGCACAAAACCTCCACCTGTTCAAGTATTGTTAAAATGGACATCTTGGGAAAGGGCAAATTTTAAGGAACAGAATTGAAAAAAGTAACATTTGAAGCACAGTGGTGAATATACTTTCCCAAATTCAATTTGAACTTGAGACACCATTCTGGGTATACTGAATAATGGTGTACAAACAGAATATAGGATCCACTTATACAGCATAAAGGAGGCCTTCTGTCTTTAATCTTGCATTAGCAGAAGCTGCTGTGATGCAGTTGCCACTCAGAAGACTCAGTTCAAAAGCAGGGATGAGGCAGGAGACTGGAAGAAAAGCACTTCATGAATATCTCTCCTGCCAGGACCTATCATCCATCCTTTATTTTATAGAACATGTCATACGGCGATGAGAATAGTATGTCCTGTGTCAAATCAATGAAGCAAGCACTTTGTCCTGTGCTTCAGCAACCATCATGAAAGATTTATCTGCACAGCACATAAACACACATCAGTACAATTATATTCCCAGGGAGCAGATTCTTGATTGTCTCAACTCTAGGCAGCACAGACAGGGGGCATTTCCAAGTAAGCTGGAGCCAGATGGGATTCTGTGGCCCCAGACAGAGTTCAAAACAAGGTTTATGGACTATCCTACCTTCACACAGAATGCTACAGTGACTTCACAGGTTTATTCTTCGAGAACTTGTCCCATTATTTAGGGCTTCAAAACTGAGTTAAATAGCTATTATATTAAGCATTCCTAATTTTTCTTGCTATATCTGTCTACAAAATATTCACTAGTGAGTAGGGAAGGTGTGGTGCAGGTATCAACACAGAATTATGTTGTCTTCAGCTAGTTACCATGGCAGCAAAATGTATTTTTTTTTTAATAAACTCGATTTACTAGCTAATTGCACATTACTCTTTCCATCAAGTGTGTCATATGCAAATTCAGAGATTGATAGCACATAAAAGCAGTATTTCATTGTTTTTGAAGGGAACAGAAGACCCAGTTTTCTAGTCTGGACATAGATTCAGCACTTGAAAAAACAGAAAAAAACTTTAGACACTTCTACTTACCTTCTATGTTTCTTTATATATTAGTTTCCAAAGTTAAAAGACAACTGGAACACTTCTAGTTTTACTTCGATGGTGAAATCTGAAAAAGTATCTTCTTCCTGTTGTTGCATTAAACACTGGAAATTAAAGGGTAGGAAGTTGTAAAAGGTGTCAATTTAGGTGCCAAAAATAGTCTTGGACAGAAAAATGACAATTCATATAACCAACCTGGAGAGAACACTGCAAAAAACACCCAGTATCTGTTTGCATTCTACTGTCTACAAGATGGTTCTAGTTGTCTATATATATATCATCATATCTAGTTTTAATGACTGCTACTGAAGCAGTAAAATACCACTGTACAAAACCTGCTCATGAATTTTGACTACCAGATATTTCCTGATGATGCTAATGAATGGTAGTTTGTAGTTCTCCTCTCATACTCTTCCCATCCAGGGTGAACCTGATCCTCATTAATATGAGCTGTCTGCCTCCTTGATTTCTCAATCTGCCCTGTAACTCTCAACTTTACATTGCTTTTCTAGCACTGCAGGGAAAGATAACATACCAATGCTTTCATAAAATTGATTCAAAGTATTCTAGGAGTAAGAAATCAAAAATGTGTGCTAAAAACTAATTGTCAATTCTGAAAATTTAAACTGAGGCAAGCATGAGATTTCCTCTGCTTATCAAACCTTAGAGAGAATTTAACGAAGTCCCTCTTTTTTTTGGAATATGTGAGTTAACGTGTTCAGCTACCTTCTCTCTTTGGTTGAATTATCCCATCATTCTTCTCTCCATTCCTTTTGGCATCTTCCCTTAAAATGCATTACTTTGCCATTCCATATTCCTAGGTGAAGACTTGTTGAACTCTTGCTAAGATATCTAGCTAGCTAGCAAAGAGAGGACCCTTCAGATAAGCCTCCACGTTGTATGAACTGTCCATCTGGAGCAGGTCACCTATTTTGTCTCTCTGATACAAAGGCAGATTGTTATTTCTGGTATCCTGGGAGCAAGGCATTCACCATGTACCTCACTGTTTAAGTTATCTGATGAAAGTTAGACATGCCACTGTTGCTACTTTATTGACCTACCAAAGAGAAACACTGACAAAAACTAGCTGAGAATAATTCTCTTTCATGACTTCAAAAATACCAAACCCCATTACTCCAGCAAAATCTATTCATCTATTATTTTAGCATGCCAGTGTTAATCCTTGTGAGCTGCCGTTTCAGGAACAATAGGTGGAATGGAAGCAGCCTACATCAGTTTTTTTTCTCAGAGTCTGTATGGGATGCTGTGCTAAATGGGAGAACCAAACAAATTAATTGGGGCTGAATCTTTTTGTATATTTACAACTTTAATTAGAGATAATACTCCAGAAGATCTTCACTTTAATATACAAATTTTCACTAATAAAGGAAGACAACAATGTAATACAACTGTTCATTTAGAGAAACCTCCAGTCAATGACATGAATTAAAAAATACCCCTAGAAGTCAGTAAGATAAAAACAAATTAACTATTATACTTGATCTATAAGTCTGAATTGTTCCTATCCTGTAACTCTATGTGTCAGTTTGATTAACATTCATTATATCACATTAAAAAGAAGCAAAATAAAGCAACAACCAACAGCCCTTGTCTTCAGAGTTTCCTGAGAGAGAAGGTTGGGTTTGACAGAAGTCTGAATCAAAATGGAAGCCACAACAAGATTGTCTACAATTTCTGAGGGAGGAAGATGTTTAAGAGTCAAAAGGAAAGTAGACATTTTCTTAAGCTTTTCATATCCACACTAGCCCAGAAATTGTCAACTATGGAAATAGAACTCACTAGATTTGTCTCAGGGATATGGTGGATATGATTGCGTTAAACGATATATGAAACAGGTTAGAGTAGGACTTACACTAGTTACTATTTTCATCAAAAAAAGAATGTTGGACACTGTCTGCATACGAATCGATATACACCACCAACACTCCTTCCAGACAAGAGGGTCTTACTCCTGGAGATGCTCCCATAAGTGAGAATCACCAAACCAGCTGCTTTCCAGACAGTTACAACACTGTCCATGCATGCAGCTACCCCACTATCATGTCAGCATTTAAATGTTATAAATACGAGTTCTATTTCCACTCCAAAGCACATGCAATTATAGTTCTCTTGGCTGGGGCACATAAAACAAAGATCTTGTTACTCAGTACTACAAACTCCAGATGGTTGTTAATAAAGGGCTTATGCCTAGTTCATAAGTGATGACAAAAAATAAGGCCTCCACATGCCTTGAATATTTTCTTGTTCTGAAAGATTCTCGTCTTCTATATATAAGCTCGTCTTCTACGTATAAGTAAGAACTCATATATCTGGAGTCCCTTTAAAATATTAGTTCTCTGCTATGGCACCTCCCATCCCACTGCTTTCTCCCTCATCACCACCCCTACCTCCTTTGTTACCACCCCATAAAAACCTGTCAACACAGAACACCAGAGCACAGAGGCACTTCATAGTGCCAGGAACATACCATCACAGAGTCCTGTCAACAATCCCTCCAGGTACTCACACAAGTGCAGCTCTGACGGTCTTCTGATCTGTCTCTGGAGATGCTCCCTTGCTAAGAACTGTCAGCTAACTCAGGCTGCACACTTGCAACAAACTCAGGACACCAACTGAGCACCTACACCACCTTCAAAGCCATTCTGAGGTTGCAGTGGTGGCTTACAACGAGCCAAACCTGTCATAGCAAGTTGCATCAGGAACATCCTATCTACCAAAACTGAAATGACAAAACTAACAAGAGAATATTCTAGAAATGACAGAAAGCCACCAGCATCTAACCTGAGAGTTCAAATACTGCTGGCAGTTCAAGTCCAAAGCAAACTGAGAAGCCCTCACACAACTACTCTCTAGATCTCGGGACACTTACAGACAAAAATTTTTTAATTGTCTCCCTGCTTAGCCTTTGAATACACCCAGTTTGAGTACTGTATGCTTACTGATAAACGGTTCAAGGCTTAGTTTACATTTAAGTCCAACCTAAAAAAAAAAAAAAGGGCTCTTTCCCTCCTAATTCCTCAAGGGAGTCAAAATAGCACCAAAGATACAGCCTCAGAAAACCAGAGGGGAAAATTACAAACACGGGGTCACCTTCTGCCTTTAAACCCCTTCCTGGGAAGACTCAAATGCAAATCAGACAGGAAAAGTAAAAGTGTTATTTTCTGACACTGTTCTGGAGGCAGTCACCTGCAAAAGAGGCTTCTAAATTACAACTTTCAGTAACAGCCAGAACCAAGCGCTCACCAACAAGCTCTGAGTAAAATGCGAACAGAAGAGGGCTGAAGATCTACCCCTTGCTGCAGCCCTTGTGATTAGATGGGTCTGCTATGGGTGACCCACAGCTTTGAGGTCCTTTCTGCCATTCACCTTGCTGAGTGAGCAGTTCCTCCTGTAATTTCTGTTAACCCCTCTATCAAAAGGGGCCCTTTTCTATTGTAGCATTGCTGCAATCTTAATCTTCTCAGAAAAAGCAGCTATTCTATTCCTGCAGTAGCTACCTAATACTTATTTTTTTTGGCATTGCTCCTTAGCAGGAACTGCTGATTTTAGCAATATAGTCTTGAACTAGAAGTGGGATTGGAAAAGAACAAAAATCTACTGTCTACAACTGTGCTGCTAAAAAGAAAGCAGCAAAAATTGTCTTTCTTTGTAGGCCATGCCATATTTTAGACTCAAATGCAGCAAGCTGATGGATGTGAGCAGATCCCCCTGTGACTTCCCAGCACTATAGGAAGGAAAGGAAAATGACTGTGCAGAACAGTTTGAGTAATTATGGGCCTTAATTAGAAAGTAGAACTATGCTTCTGGCATCCATATAACTGTGCCTGGTTTCCATTAGGAAATGTGTCTTTTAGTTTTCCTCCAGGTTGTCTTCAAACAAAACTTTCTGCTTTTGAATGTGGCTATTAAATTAAATTGCTGTATATTTAAGACTTAAATTTTAATTCAACACATTATTTAAGTTTCTGTTAATTCTAATCACATGGTTTGTCTCATTTAATAGTGCATTAATGGGATATTTCACCTGATCTCAGTTAAATTCTCTTTAAGTGCTTCCTTTAAACTTTTAAGTCAGGTATAAGATGGGATCAATCCTTATTTTTTCTCCTCATATTAATATTTCACCTTCTTTCTTTACTTCAGGAAAAAAAAAAATACAGTAGCAGTAGTTAGTTGGTTGTTGAGAAATTCTCATTCTTCTTTCTTTTTAGATCCTATTGATTTCTACTTCCCTCTGGTTATTTGCTTTCTCTCTTTTTTTAAATTCAAAACATAGCAATGAGTTATAAACACACATTTTAAAAGAATTTTCTGGGTAGGTAGGGTATTTTCAAACTCTTGTGACATAACAACATGCCACCTTAATGTTAATACAAGATATTTACTAAGGGAAATTGATATGTGCTAAGATATTACTGTGCAGTTGCTTATGTTCTGATTCAGCAGAGGAAAATAAAACAAGCACTCTGAGACAACCTTCTGATCTACTGAATCTGATGTGTATTTGTTGTGCTACTCCAAAGCTGGAAATGTCCAGAGTCTTTTCAATAATTGAGATAACTTTAAAAATATTGTTTGCTTTTTTTTTTTATTAGAACAGTGACATTTACCATTGAAAAAAGTTTGCTGGTTGTACATAAAGAAGCAATCTGAAAATTAAGCTAGTAAATATTTTATACTGTAGTCTCTTTGAGTACCTTTCAAATCCTCAGACAAGCACAAAATCAAAGTTACAACATATCCAAATGGGAGCAAAATATGTTTTTAAGCATTACTCATACTTTCAGAAAGAACATTGCTCAAGGCTGTTTCTGAATCTATGTACACACACACACACACACACACACGTTTCTACCATGGGTCATGAAGAACTCCAGCTGGATGGAGTTAAAGCAGCTTAAAGTAATCCAGCTAAGAAAACTTCTGCGAATGACTAGTAGCTTGTTTTACTTTAAGTGTAAGCATTGTCAATATATCTGTGTGATAAGAAAAAACAATCCTTCATGAATACTTTACTCTAGAAAACTATTAAATGGGAAATCTTTCACTGAATCAGAACAACAATAACACTTATGTAATTTCTGTTGACTAAAAGGATTGTCACCTAAAGCTATGACTCTAAAAGAGCTGGGTGAAATTAAAACAGAATAAGATATGGGTGCCTATAATCTAAAGTCTCCTTTGAAAAATTTGGAGTAAGTCTTTTTCAAATTCCATTAGGCCTAAATCCTTATTTTCTGTTGCTGAGAAAAAGACAGAAAGTAGATAAAATATGGGACTTTAAGAAAGACTCAAGAGTTTCAGCATCTGAAGTGTCCTATTTTTAACTAATGTTGTTCATGGAGAAGAAAAAAAGATAGAAAAGGACTATCCATAGCAACCACTCTTAATTAAACAGAAAGAATGTTGTACTTTTTCAAAAGCTTTTCTATTTATAAAAGAGTTTAGTAATTTACTGTACACTGACAGTCAATATCATAACCCAGAAATCTTTTTTTCATCTCTACATGAATATTGGCCTCTCAAGAGAAAGTGTTTCTCAAAACCGTGAAGTGAAGCAAAAAACAAGATCATAATGAAACTCAGCCAATAATATATACACGTATACTTTATGTATTGCATCAGAGTAATAATTATCTTTATTTCTATTGGAATAATTATGGTTTGAAATATATCTACTAAGTTTACAAATATTTTCCCCCTAGCGTATTACTGACACACCAATACTAGTGGTTAATGATAGGCTTTGTGTTGGAAATAAGACAAATAAAAACCCTCTAATGTAGTAACAAACTCGGAAGCGGAGTCTAAGAAATGAATACCTAATATTAGTTTTATTGCATTGGGAATGGAAGAATTTATTTTGAGACTAGAGTGTTTGCTTTCAATATTTCTCTATCTCCTTCTAGCATGTTGACTAGTAAAAGCAACTTGTTGCACTTTGTCACCACATCAGCACTAAGGCTTAGGCCTTTAGATAGTGTGCCACCCACAAGTAACATTCCTTGCACTCTTTCAAGAGTGTAAATTACCCCAGAGCTGCCAGGAAGAGCAACCACTGTTTTTTACACCTTTCTAAGCCAGCAGAGCTACTCAGCTGTGAAGCAGGAACCTTTCCTCTGCCTATAGTCTTCATTCTTCACTACAGATCTGCCCTGTGCACTGAAACAGAGGAGAGCCTGAACCTGAAAAGTTATATGTAATTATACAATTAAGAAATATAATGTATGCAGGTGTGCATAGGAAGCAAAATTTTTGGCACTCTGTTTTAAGTGCATATTAATGAAAACTAATTGATTTAAGTACAGCTCGAAACTTCCAACACTTACAAGTTATGATGTCAGCTGAGCCAGAGAGTCTTCTGTTCTGCCACTATGGCAAATGCTTGGTAATGTGACTTAGCTCTACTGTCTTGTCACAGGCCATGTTAAATGCCATTACCCTCTATTGAGTTAAGAATGCAGCTTAGCAATCAGCCCAGTTGATGTATGATAACTAACTTCAAGCAGCAGCTTGAATGTGAACTTGACCTATGAGAACTTTCTTTTAATACCATTCTTCACAGTTATTGCTCTGGGATTATTTTAGTTTTCTGCAGGGGAGAGGAAGATTTATGCTATTTTCTAGTTTCTATTTTCACAGGAATACAAATGCACAGCTATTCTGTACAGCTGCAGTGACATGTGTGCCATGCTATTTTAACTAGAAGCAGAAGGACTGTTATTTTAGAGGGAAGAATATGTTCACACTGTGCACTGGACTCACAAGAAAGGCAGCATGGGACTCTTGAGTCTGCAGGCATAAGAGAGGACATGTCCCAGATATTCTCGTCCAGACACAACAGCAGGCAGTGCTGGTGAAGTGCCACGTGAAGGACTGTGGTGAGGGCAGTGCTCTGGCTCTGTATTCTCCTGCCTCCTTACTCCAAAATTAGTTCCACATGCGATTCTTC